TTTCCCTCTTATTCTTACTGAACATCTTTTCATATGTTTATTGGACATTTATTATTTTCCTCTTCCTTGAAATACTCCTGTCTTTTGCTCATTTTTAATATCATATCTGTGTTTTTCTTATTGATATGTGGGAATTTTCCATATATTCTGGATACAAGTCTCTTGTCAGTTATATATCTTTCAAATATCTACTAGTTCTTGGCTTATCTTTCCCTTGCATCTTTTCATGAACAGAACTTCCTAAGTTTAATGTAGTCACATTTATTAATATATGTTTATTTTGGATTTTGTTGATGTTTTCTTGTTGTTGTTTTTTACCCCGCTGGATTTAATTGGCTAAAATGTTGGTCTATATTCATATATGTGATTGGCTCATAAGTAGTACTATTTTTACTATTTGTACTATCTTTGCTTGAGCACCAAGATTATTCCAGTTTCATGGAAGAGTTAGGAAGAGAAGTATTTTGTTTATATTCTGGAAGGTTTTTGTATGTTTGTTTTTGTTTTGTATTAGTCATATTAGCATGCTCTGTTCCTTGAATGTTTGGTAGAATTTGACAAAACCTCTATATGCCTGATGAGGCCCAATAACTCTGCTTCAATTTATTTAACTGTTAAAGGAAAATTTAGGCTCTAGTTCTCTTGATTCCCCCCCCCCCCCAAGTTATACTGCTTTGTCTAAAAATTAAAATATACAGCTTTTGATAGATTTCTCTTAATTTCTTTTAATTCTCCATTTTATCTATAATCATGCTTCTTTTCATTCAAAATACTGTTTTTTCCCTTTCTTTCTTTTTTTTATTTTTTTATTTTTTTTTTTTTTATCATTAGTCTTGTTAGAGTCTTTCCAAAGACCCCATTTCTGGCCTTAGTCATCTTTTTCTCTTGCATTTGTTGTTGACATTGATTTCTGTGATTATCTTCTTACTCTCTTTGAGGTAATCTATTTTTTTTTTTTTTTTTACTAGTAACTTCTGCTCTTGGAAGCTTACCCTGTTAATTTCCAGATATTTTTCTGCACTTTATGTATTGTTATATTTACATTTTAAAATGTTTTTTTTTAATCCTCACCCACTTAGAAATTTAAAAACGATTCTAAGTAACGGATAGCTCAAAGAAGGTGATTATGATTGAATTTAAAGAAAACACTTAAGATAGAATGACAAGAGGGCATATAAAAACTTGTGGGATGCGGCAAAGTCCCATTTTTAAGAATTAGAGCCATTTGGGGCTCCTTGGGCCACTGAACCAGCAGGCAGAGAGAGGAGTCACTGACTGACTGGAGTCGGGGCCGTCAGGGGGAGAGCAAGTGGTGGCTACACGAAAGAGGCGTTGTCTGGAACTACAGTGACTCATGTGGGCGCCTCAGTATTTTCTGGCCCCCAGGACCTTGTCAACGGAACACTGTGCAACCCAATTAAGACAAGAATTCTAGTAAGTCTATTTGTGACCAGCAGGGGATGCAGGGACTATGATAGCCATGTGTTTATTATTTAAACCATCACCCTCCCACTATTTTATATAAAAAATACCCAAGACATCAAACATTCAGGTTTTAATTTGGAGTATGGATTAATATTGTCCAGTATGTTATTGTAGCTCATGAAACCTCTCATGTTCCCTACCCAGGGAACATAGGATTCTTCTCATTTGGATGAAGGGCAAGAGAGGATGGTGAGGAACAGAATGAGCAGCCTGTGCCAGATGTCTCCATTTGCCTATTCCTACCTGGTCTACACTCTACTCCACTCTGCTCTGCCCTAGGAGGCTGACATGTGTGGATTATGATAGCCTAGTCCTCGGACCCCCAGTTAGGTCTGGCAATGGGGGAACCCTCCTCCAGAGATCGGCGGGAGGAAGGAGGAGGTGGATGGGATATTTATTTCTTTGGTTCTCCCCTTGCAGGGATACTTTGGGTAGCTATGTCCACCAAGCAAACATCACTGGTCCTCTCCAGTTGGCCCTCTCTACACAACTCTCTGCTTTCAGGTTTTGTAAACCCTTTTTCTCTATATTCCTGTGTGCCCAGGAATAAAACAGGTCCACAGTCCTATCTCTGGAATATTGAACTATATTTTGCTGTTTTCCTACACAAAACCCAACTTTGTAAGTGGCTCCCTTCTTAAACCATCCTTGAATTATACTAATTTGAGGAGGCCACAATTTTCCTATTGGAATTTGATTGAGTCAGGAACAGGGTTCTCAAATAAATGAAGTAGTGTTGCAATTGACTCCCCCGCCCCCTTTTATTTATTTATTTATTTATTTATTTATTTATTTATTTATTTATTTAAATATATTTTATTGATTTTACACAGAGAGGAATTGAGAGGGACAGAGAGTTAGAAACATCGATGAGAGAGAATCATCGATCAGCTGCCTCCTGCACACCCCCCACCAGGGATGTGCCTGCAACCAAGGTACATGCCCTTGACCGGAATCGAACTCGGGACTCTTCAGTCCGTAGGCCGACGCTCTATCCACTGAGCCAAACCGGTTTCGGCAAGAAGTCTATTTCTAACAAGGTAATTTGCCATTACCTTCTATTTACTAGTAACTGAGAATTGTTCAAGGCCATTAGTTAACAAGTAGTCACCCTATTATCAATGAGAATATTTTCCTCTGTGTTCACCACTGATAACGCCACTGTTATCAGGATTGCCAGTCAGCTCTTATCTGTGCTTTCTCACTCGCTTCAACAACTTCCCCAACACGCAAAGAACGAATAATAGATGGATCACAGTGCTCAACGTTTTTTCTGATATCAGCTCCTCTAACTAATTTACCCTTTTGACTGATAAACATTTTGTGCAAGAATAAAGTTTGATATCATCATCTCTTCATTAGTTGCCCAAAAAAATCTTCAAAGCCCATTTAGGCAGGTTCATTGTTCAATCATTGTAGACAGAGTCTGTGCCAATCCCTTAAGCAAGCTGATTGGTCAGCATCATGGGCAAGTGGAGAAATGACTTTCTTAAGACTGAACGCTTTTGGGAGTCATGGAATCCTATGCCCTATGATTGTAGCAAGCACACAGTCTGAAGAAAGTGTTTATCCTTGCTCAATGGTTATGTGTACTCAATAATACACATATCCCACTGGGGAGAAACAAGAGCTGAAATCCTGCTTTTCACATGAACTGCAGGAAGGAGACATACATGGCAATTTTCCAGGAATGATAATGTCTTATAACTGGAATTTTTTTTTCACTCCGGAATGCCTGCAATGAGTCATACAGAATGACATTTACACTGGTCAGAAAGCATTTCTCTGGTTACTCAGGCTGTTTGCAAACAATGGACAGTGAATTGCAAACACCCTTCAAAGATGGCGGATGTTGGCGTGTTCCAGGTAGTTCCACATCTATCCTGTGTGTACCTGCAGCCCCTGGCACACCAAGAACAGTCAACGGGGTGGAACGGACTGGTGGGCCTCATCAGCCATCTGCAGATCAGGATTATTCCCACAGCTGATGGATCATGTCAACATTTTCATCAGATAATATCATAGCAAACCCACTGATTCAGTTTTCAGCAGCCTCATTATCACAACATCCTTTTCATCTCCAATGACATTGTCTTATTTCAGATATACATAAAGTAAAACATCATTCTCCCAAAGCAGCAACAACAAAAAGACCCACAGTGGCAAGTGTGGCTGGCAAGCATAACTATTCAGCTCAGGGTCAGGAACTGCCTCTAACTGCCTCATTCCCGTGGGGCCGAGGGAATGTTAAGGCCTGGTCCTAAAAATGAGAGGAAGTCAGAGCAAGTTTACGCAAAAATAGACTGAGTCTCATAAACTCCAACCTCCGCCCCCCTCAACAAGTTATTTTTTCTTAGTAGTTGGCAGAAATACCTTTTTCTATGCCTTTACTTTCAGTGTTTCCATGTCTTTAGTTTATGTATCTCTCATGTGTACGACACTCACATGGTCTTGTGTTTTTTATTATTTTTTATTATTTTTAAAATATATTTTATTGATTTTTTTTTTTTTTACAGAGAGGGAGAGAGGGATAGAGAGTTAGAAACATCCAATGAGAGAGAATCATCGATCAGCTGCCTCTTGCACACCCCCTACTGGGGATGTGCCCTCAACCATGGTGCATGCATGCCCTTGACGGGAATTGAATCTGGGCCCTTGACCGGAATCGAACCTGGGACCTTTCGCTCTATCCACTGAGCCAAACCGGTTTTGGCTTATTCTTTATTTCTTTAAACATTTTAGTCATGTAGTTCAATAATCCATAATCCATAATCCCTGGGGCCCTAAAGCTATTGTTTTTTGTCACTACCTATTTTATATAGAGAGAGGAAGGGAGAGGGAGAAAGAGAGAAACATCAATGATGAGAGAGAATCATTGGTCAGCTGTCTCCTGCACATCCATCACTGGGGATAGAGCCCACACCCAGGCATGTGCCCTTGACTGAAATCGAACCCAGGACCCTTCAGTCCTCACTGCCTATTTTCATTCACAGAGATTTGTTGATCTTTGACAGTGAGTCTTTAGCTTCATCTCAATTTGAGTGACTCCTGTCATCCCAAACTGGGGACACTTGACTCCAGGAGGGACTCTATTCTGCTTCTGCTTGGACTCGGTGATGCCACTCTCTCAGGATGACCTCGTCCCTCATCCCCACAAGAGGCCCTGGTCCAGCCTCCCCACCTTATGGGCCTCCCCAGGACTCAGTGTTCCACCAGTAGCATTGCCTGTGCATTTGAGGACAATCTCAAAATGGGGGCCACGTGGACTCTGGCCCCAGCTCTGATGATGGGCGGGGCAGGGGGGAAGAGAGCGAGGTCATCAGAGAGCCCCACCACTTCTTGCGAGGCTCTTTGAAGAGTGTGTGCTATCTAGGGTCTAGCTGATCCGCAGCATTTGGAGCTGTCCGTGAATCTGGTCAAGCAACACGTCAGGAGCCAAACAACTGGGTTTGTGTGAGCAGACGTGGCGAGGTCTGTTTCATTTTTCTCGAAGGGGAGTTTTGCCAGGTGCCCCCTCAGGGGGCCGTGTTGTAGACCTTGTAGTCGGCCTCCTGCGTGATGTGCAGCTTCCAGGGGAAGAGGCGCTTCTGGGAGGGGAGCGCCTGGGCCTGCTTCACCATGAGCCTCACGTCCTCGTCCGAGAGCAGCCGCACCAGGTCCCCGTCGGCGTCCCGGTAGTTTAGGCTGATGTCCTCCCTCTGGAACTCCTGCCTGGGTGGGAGAGATCGGGGAGAATGAGAGGGCTGGCAGCCTTCGGCCTGAGCCTGGGGGCTGAGCGTGGGGCCGAGGGAATGTTAGGGCCTGGTCCTAAAAATGAGAGGAAGTCAGAGCTTGGCACAGGCCTTATCGCCTGCGTGGTCCAACCTCCCACCATACAGATAGGGAAACGGAGGCCCACGGGGGAGGGAGGAGACTTCCACATTAAATTAGTGGCACAGCCGAAACCGGTTTGGCTCAGTGGATAGAGCATCGGCCTGCGGACTGAAAGGTCCCGGGATCGATTCCGGTCAAGGGCATGTACATTGGTCGCAGGCACATCCCCAGTAGGGGGGCTGTGCGGAGGCAGCTGATCGATGTTTCTCTCTCATCAATGTTTCTAGCTCTTTATCTCTCTCCCTTCCTCTCTGTGAAAAATCAATTAAAAATATATTTTAAATAAATAAATGAATGAATGAATGAATGAATAAATAAATAAAATAAATTAGTGGCACAGCCTGAAGTGTCTTGTGTATAAATGTGTTGAATACCCAAGACCTGTCATGCGGAAGAGGAGTGGGGTTGGCAGGTACATAGTAGGGCAGCATAAAGCCCCAAGAGGCACCTGTGAGAAGCTTTGAGGACTGGGGCGATCTGATGGGGGGTACAGGGGGTGGGTGCTCTAACTGACTGGTCCAAGTGAAAAGCGACCTGACCTTCTATGGGTGATGTGACACGTGGGCCAAAAGCCTAACTGACTTGCAAACACCTTGATCCCCAAATTCCACTCCTAGAAAATCATCCCAGGGAAGTAATTGGGCAAGTCACCAGAGATGCGATCACAACGTGATGTCCGGAAGTCAGAAAGTGGAGGATAACTTAAGGGGATGGTCCCAGTAAGTAAGGTGCATCCTAGAACGTTACTGTGCAGCCATTTATTCACGTGGGGGTGGGGTGGGGTGTCCTGGAGAAATCTGAGGGCACATCCAATACCGAGAGGAGTGAAAATATGAGGTGATGTCACTAGTTTATACCTTTCTGTGATGTTTGACATTTTTAAAAAAAGAACGAACAGGTATTACCTTTACAGTCAGGAAGGTAACAAGGCGATTTTTATTCTGCAAAAGTAACCGCCCTAGCTGACCTGGATCTTGGGAGATAGTGCAGGATCCAAGTTCAAGGTGTTTACCTACGGAGACTTTGGCCTCACAAGCTGTGTGACCCCATCCAAGCCCCTTTACCTTCCTGCAGCCCCTCCCTACCCCCCTACCCCCCCCCCACCCCCTGCACAGGGAGCTGATGCCCAACCTGCAGGGCTGGGCTGCACGTGAAACAAGAAGGCAAAGCAGATGCAGACAGCACGGGATGCATCATCGTGTTTCCCCTTCTGATCTCTCCTCCAGGGTCTGTGACCCATCCCTCCGCCCGTCCTCCCCCCACCCCCTCACCTCATGAGCTTCAACAGCTCCTTGAAGAGCGGGGTGCTATTGAGGTCTTCCTCCACCGCGATGTCCCTGAGGGGACAACAGGCATCGGTGAGAGGCCCTGGGCCCAAACGGGGACCTGGGAATGAGGCTGGCCAGGCCACGGTGGCCCCTGACATCCTGGCTTCTCTGGAGGACAGTCAGGGCCCCTGCCGGCTTTAAGTGTGTGCATGGGGTTGGGGGTCACATGGTATCTGACTTGGGCCTCAGGGTCGGGAGGTGGGAGTGGGGACGGGAGGTGGGAGTGGGGACAGGAGGTGGGAGTGAGACAGGAGGTGGAAGTGAGAACAGGAGGTGGGAGTGGAGGCAGGAGGTGGGAGTGGGGACAGAGGGTGGGAGTGGGGACGGGAGGTGGGAGTGGAGGCAGGAGGTGGGAGTGGGGACAGAGGGTGGGAGTGGGGACAGGAGGTGGGAGTGGAGGCAGAAGGTGGGAGTGAGACAGGAGGTGGGAGTGAAGACAGGAGGTGGGAGTGAAGACAGGAGGTGGGCGTGGGGACAGGAGGTGGGAGTGGGGACGGGAGGTGGGAGTGGGGGCAGGAGGTGGGAGTGGGGGCAGGAGGTGGGAGTGGACACAGGAGGTGGGAGTGGGGATAGGAGGTGGGCGTGGGGACAGGAGGTGGGAGTGGGGACGGGAGGTGGGAGTGGGGGCAGGAGGTGGGAGTGGGGGCAGGAGGTGGGAGTGGACACAGGAGGTGGGCGTGGGGATAGGAGGTGGGCGTGGGGACAGGAGGTGGGCGTGGGGACAGGACCCTCCCCCAGGCCACCCACTTGATGGTGCTGATGGTGTCCTCATAGTAATAGCAGCGCAGCCAGTTGGTGGGGTCGTCTTCCTCGGGGAAGTCCTTGAGGATCTTCACGAAGGACCGTGGGAAGATGCCCGTGGCTCCGCGGACCGAGCCCTGAGGAGGGAAGAACAAGGCTGCCTCGTCTGCGTGAGGAGAGGCAGCAGGCGGCGCCCGGGGCCCCAGGTCCCTCGTCGTGACCAGGGAAGGCAGGCGGAGTCTGGGTTCCCTTACGCAGAGGGAGGAGAAGTGAGCAAGGTTGAGAGCTAGACCTCTAAAAAGAGCCTCCTCAGCGGCTGCCAGGCTGGGAGCGGCCAGGCCCGGGGGAGCAGCCGGGTCGGGTGCGGCCAGGCCCGGAGCAGCGGCTGCCAGGCTGGGAGCGGCCAGGCTCAGAGCAGCAGCAGCCAAGTCCGGAGCAACTAGGTCGGGAGTGGCAGTGACCAGACCCGGAGCAGCTGGTTGTGGAACCAACCAGAGCAACAGAGGCCAGGCCCTGAGCAGCCAGGCCTGGAACAGCTCGCTCCTCGCCTGCCCTTGCCCCACGGCTGCCTCTCAGACATGGCTGGAAACTTTCGTGGGAACTTGAGGGTCTGCTGAATCAAGTGATGAAGGCTTAGATCTGGATGTGTTGAGTTAGTATAGGGCTGGGGTGTTGATCTGTGAGTGCCTTGGGTGGGGCCTGGATGAGGCTGGTGGACCTATTGGGAAATATCTTTTGTGTGAAGTGTATCATTGGGCATGTGGAGGTATTATTGATATGAGAAAATGCTAAGTAACTGATTTACTATCTGAAAAGGGATTTACTATTGGGAAAGGGAGGGAAGAAGAGACTGAACATAAACTGCACCTATGGATGAGGACAATGGGGGATGGGGAGGGGGGAAGGGTGGGGTGGGAACCTGGTGGAGGGGGGAAGAAATGAGGAACCTTTGTAATAATATGAACAATAAAGATTGATTTAAAAAAAATAAAAATAAAAAATAAAATAAAAAGAGCCTCCTTTCAGAATAGGTCGAGATCTGAATTTATCTGGATGTCTGCCATCATCTTTCATCCATCCATCCACCCATTCATTCATTCATGCACTCACTCATTCACAGCTTCCTGGAGCACCAGCGACATGGCTGACTCCGGCACTCAGAATGGGTGGAAGTCCTTGCCTTCCCTCACGGAGCTTCCACTGTAATGCAGAGTGACAAGCGCAGGTCAATAGTGAACTTCCTGGGGAGTCTGGTGACAGTGGGTGTTAAAGTGGAAGACAGAAGAGGGAGGGAGGAGGAGGGGTGGCTCCCACTCATTCATTCATTCATTCATTCATTCATCCCGTCGATCCCACCGAACAGCCAGCCGCCTCCCCTCCGGCCCCGGCTCCCGCCTCGGCTTCCCCAGGACCCAGCCCCTGCTTCGCACACGTGTTCTCTTCACCTCCCCAGCCCCGTGGGAGACACTGTTTATGTCCGTTTTCCAGACGGAGAAGCTGAAGCTCCAAGTAATCTCCTCACTTCTCCCTGAGTCCCCCTCAGCCCGAGGCCAGACGCTCGACAGCACACTTTGCAGAAAACAGGAAGGCACAGCATTCCCGGCTTCCGGAGCCTGGCCCAGCGACACCCCCGGGGCAGCTGTCAGAGCGGATGAACATGTGAGGAACATGTGACACAGAATTCCAGGACTGAGGGTAAAAGCAAAACCGGCAACGCGATGGTTCCTGCTTCTCTGCAGCCCTGAAGGCCGGAGGCCCCTCCCCCGCCCTCAACTCTCCCCTGAGGCCGGCCCCACACCAGCCTTCACACATCACCGCCCAGGAGCCCGAGAGGAAGAAGTCTTATCTAAGAATAACAGGGCCGGCCGGCTGGTGTGGCTCAGTGGTTGAGCGTCCACGTAGGAACCAGGAGGTCAGGGTTTGATTCAAGGTCAGGGCACATGCCCAGCGTGTGGGCTCGATCCCCAGCAGGAAGTGTGCAAGAGGCAGCGATCAATGATTCTCTCTCATCATTGATGTTTCTATCTATCTCCTCCCCTTCTCTCTGAAATCAATAAAAACATGTTAAAGACACAGAAAAAAAAAAAAAAGGGAGAAGAGACCTAACATAGAAGGCTGCCGCTGGGTGGAGGGAAGGATGGAGGGGAGGATGGAGGTAATCTCACACCTCCATTGACAGTCACTGAGAACCATTGTATGGGCCACACGTGCATTTGCCGTGTGCAGGGACAAACCAATGACAAGCAGGCCCTGCCCGGAGCGACTTTAACTCTCTCGGCAGCCCCGGCCCCGGGGGACGCCGCACACGCAGCCTCTCTGTGGACCAGCCCTGAGCTGCCACGCCCCGGGGAGCACATCCCGGAACCCGTAAGAAACTGCCAGCATTGCTCCAGTTCACAGAAAGGGAAACCACGGGGTTGAGCAAGCGCCCAAGGCCACTCAGCCCCGTAAGAGCAGGGCAGGACGTGACACCAGACAGGCCGGCTCCAGCGCCAGCCTCCATTGCTGTCTTTTCTTGCCGCCTGAAGCGACGTCATGTTACCCCAGGTGACAGACCTGTGTGTCTCAATGGGGGGAGGGGAGGTGTTGCCCCCCCCCCGGGGGGGGGGCAAATGCTGGGAGAGCCTTGCATCCAGTGGACAGAAACAAGGATGTTGCTAAAGATCCTACAGTGCACAGGCCACCCTCACCTCCACCATCACCTCCCCCTCACCTCCACCCTCACCTCCACCCAACCTCCACCTTCACCTCCACCCTCACCTCCACCCTCACCTCCACCTTCACCTCCACCTTCATCTCCACCTTCACCTCCACCCTCACCTCCACTCTCACCTCACCTTCACCTCCACCCTCACCTCCAGCCAGTCTTTGTTGATCCGGCTGAGAAGGAAGATCACATCTCCAGCTTTGAAATTCAGCTCCAGCTTGCTGTTCCCCGTGAAGTCAAACAGGGCCTGGGGAGAAGAGGGGAGGAAGACGGGAGGAAGGAAACAGTCACACAGGCCCTACTAAAGGGCTTGCTTTGGTGTCCCATTGACCAGGCGAGGAAGCAGAGGCTCGGGGAGCACGGGGGACTTGTTTGAGGCCACTCCATGGCCCTGCGATGCACGTGTTTATGTGTGTCCTCATGAGCTCCTGGCGGACAGGGCCTCGTCATCTCTGTCCCCGGCAGCGCTGGCCCTAAGGGGCCGGGAAACTTGCTGGATGAGTGGCTGGACACTCTCTATTCTGCCTCTGTGTGCTCACCATTCCCCTCCTCACACCTGAGCTGGCGTCTCAGTGAGCAGTGACCAAAGCGGAGGCTGAGGCCTTTCCTCCCGGCAGTACCCAGCCCCACCTAGACACAGCCCGCACCCAGCAGGAGCGCTCCCGGCTTGGGGGGGGGGGGGCTGCCCGGAGGCAGTGGGAGGGCTGGCCTGCAGATACCTCTGCTCTCGGAGCTGCCAAGCGGTCCAAGCCGGCGCCTTTCGGGGACTCGCTCTTGCTGTGGAGAGAGAAGAGGGGCCATCAGGCCTTCCGGTTCTCTGGGCCCAGCTCTCTGCTTCTGTGCCAGAGGCAGGTGCAATGGCTCCTGTGGCCATCATCCCCCCTCTCCCTTCCTGCTGCCGCTGGAGGAGGGATTGGGCCCCTTTGCAGACCAGGAAGCAGAGGCTGAGAGAGGAGGTGGGAGTGAGAGTGGGAACACAGCCACTGAGAGCCGTCACTTGCCGGCCACCTCACATTTGTCTTTCTTCTTCTCCCCACACCCAACCTCTACAGTCACATTATCCTTCCGATGCTTCACCGAGGACAGGGCGGCCGTGGGGAGGGGACACGCCCTGCTCCAGGGCCCAGGGCTGGGATTCAGCCTGAGCCCGAGAGAGCTGGGCACTGAGGACACTCCCAGGCCCTGGCTGGCGTGGGGGGCGGCGGCGAGTGGGGGCAGGCTCAGAAGTGCCTCCCCTAGAATCCTCAGCAGCACCAACCTCCCCTTGGGAAGCCTGGCCCAGCTCAGCGGCTGATTTTCTTTTCTTTCTTTTAAATATATTTTATTGATTTTTCACAGAGAGAAAGAGAGAGGGATAGAAAGTCAGAAACATAGATGAGAGAATCATCGATCAGCTGCCTCCTGCACACCTCCTACTGTGGATGTGCCCACAACCAAGGTACATGCCCTTGACTGGGATCAAACCCGGGACCCTTGAGTCCGCAGGCCAATGCTCTATGCACTGAGCCAAACCGGTTTCAGCTCAGTGGCTGATTTTCAATGATGACTTTCTGCAGGGAAGGACTGGTCCCCGTTTCTCCCCTGCCCCAGGGGAAAGAGGGGGCAGAGCACAGGGTTAGGAGGGAGTGGCCTGGGCTCTGGGATTTGAACTCCCCTCTCTGAGTGTCTGGGGTCACTTACACCTTCCGGGTGCGTGGCCGGAGCCGGCGGAGCGCCTGGGGCACCTGCTCGGAGTCGTAGGGCGACTGATAGAAGAAGATGCGGACGTCCTCGTCCATCAGCACCCAGATGGGCAGGCTGAGGAGGCTCTGAGTTTGGGCGAGAGGTCGGACCGGACGGGAGGGCGGTCATCAGCAAGGGGTGCACACCCCAGCCCCACGGCTCCCTCCCCCACCCACCCTGCACCCCCTCTTCTCCGCCCGCAACAGGAAAGAGGCAGCTGTTCACCATCTCAATGGGCTCAGGTAATATCTCACAAAGAAGAGCTCATTCGGAAAACACCTCCAGGCGGGACAGGGAAGATGGTGCCAGGTCACATGACAGGCTCTGCACTGAGTACCTCACCATGTGACCTCACACTGTCTTATCGTCACCTGGGGGTCAGGGCGCCTGCCTGAGGCCACACAGCCCAGCAAGTGCCCAAGCCGGGGCACTCAGGGCCATCTGCCACCGACGCCCCTCCCTTAGCTCAAAATGAAATCATGGGGGAGGGGGGATCCCCCCAAATGATCCAAAATAACAGTTGGTGACATTATGGCCTAAAAAACACTTTCTATAATTTATCACTATCACAATTGGGGAAACCAAGGCAGGAGAGGGCCAGTGCCTGGCCCAGTTGGCAGAGCTAGGAAATGGTGGGTCAGGACTCTCCCTCCATCTGAGGCTGGAAACACCCCCACGATGCAGACCCGGAGGCGTGCGGACCCAGGACCTGGCAGGGCCACCCTCAGCCGCACACGCACAGGCCCCGGGTGCTCTGTGCTTAGCTCTGGGTGCTGAACCCCCACGGACACCCAGAGCCCAGCCCTCCCAGAGACTCTCATGGAAGCAGCAATGGGGCACGGGGCGGGGCAGGAACCCCCTTCCTGAGGAACTGGGAGCACAGAGCCTGGAAGGACACAGCTGTCCCATGGGCAGCCCCGCGTTTGGTCTGAGCGCACAGACCCTGAGTCAGGCTGCACCCGGATCTAATCCCGGCTCTGCCGCCCTCCAGCGGGGTGACTCTGGGCCTCCGTGTGCTCGTTAATAAAATGGGGGTGAGGCCAGTATTTCCCTCCCGGGATTGTGTAAGAATCTAATACCATGATTACCCCGCAGAGCCCCACCGGCCCCAGGCAAGGGACCCGTCCCAGGGAGGGCCCGCCAGTGCTGCTGTGGTTTTCACTACACACAGCACCGTAGGGAAGAGCACAGCTAGAGCCTCAGACCGGGGAGTTCAAATCCCGTCCCTCCTGCCTCCCTGCTCTGTGACGCCGAGGGAGTGGCTACCTCTGTGTGCCTCCCTCCCGCATCTAAAATAGGGTAATGGCATCTAATGCACAGCTAAATAAATAAGCCCACTCATCTTCCGGCCGAATGCATACCAAGAGCCCCCCACAATTGCTAGTCACTAGTTCTAGGCCAGTGGTGGGCAAACTCATTAGTCAACAGAGCCAAATATCAACAGAACGACGACTGAAATTTCTTTTGAGAGCCGAGAACCGACTTCTGCGCATGGGCCACGAAGTTTCGATCGCACTGTACGTACTCACTCGCATGTGGTATTTTGTGGAAGGGCCACACTCAAGGGACCAAAGAGCCGCATGGGCCATTGCCATCATCACATGACCCACAGTCTCCATCAGGGGACCAGTGAGGGGAGGGAACCAGGCTGTCCTAAGAGCTCTCCAGCAGTGGGATGCGCAGCCCAGGCCAGGGGAGAGTGGGAGTGAGCTTCCCACCTCTATAAGCATGCAAGCACAGGATGGGGTCTCCCTCGCAGAGACTCCTGCACGGACAGAGCTCTGGGCTTCGGGGAGTCAGATTGGACAAAGCCAGGCAGGGACGGGACCCTCCAGGCTGCTGGCTGCTGAGACCAGGTGTGGGATGCAGACTCCCAGCCCTGCAGCCTCCTCTCCCTCCCTCAGAGCACGCTCCTCTCCCAGCTCTTACAGAGGAGGGTGGGCCCCCACTCCTGCAGGGGCAGCTGCCACAGCGCCCCCTTGAGGGGAGATGCCTGCACTGCTGGTTCCCGCAGCCACCAGAGAAGGCAGGTGAGCCATCTTCTCCCTCCTCCCACCTCCACAGTCCTCCCCCCCTCACTCCACTGCGAGTCACCATCTCTCACGTTGGGGAAGCAGGTTCACAGCTTCCAAAGCGCCTTCATGTCCTCTGCTCAATGGATCCCAACGCCACTCCTGAGACCCGAGAACTGGAGGCGCTGCCGCATCTCATACACCATGCCCAGCGAGGATGGGCAACGTCCGAGCAAAAACGGAAACGACTCCTAGCTTAGTGCTCTTCAGCCGTGAGAGTGGAGGAGGAGGGCGAGCCTGCCTCTGGCCTCTGAGGATGCTTCCTTCTCCCGTTTCCTGGAGCTGCCGTCCAGCATGGCTTGTATGTCTCTAGTGATGGCGTGCTCACTACCGCACGAGGAACATGGTCCCTTTCTTGCTCAGCTCTGTCCCATAAAAGGCCTTTCTACACCAGCCTGGTCTCTGCCTTTAAGATGAGGCCAGGGCCCTGGCTGGTTTGGCTCAATGGATAGAACGTCGGCCTCTGGACTGGGGGGATCCCAGGTTGGATTCCAGCCCAGGGCACATGCCTGGGTTGCAGGCTCAATCCCCAGTGGGAGGCATGCAGGGAGGCTGCCAATGATTCTCTCTCAGCATTGATGTTTCTAGCTCTCTCTCCCTCAGCCTTCCTCTCTGAATTCAATGTGGGACGCCCTTCTGTGAGACAGCTGTGTCCTTCTCCTCTCCGTCTCCCCATCTCCCAGGGACGCCGACAATGGGGAGGTTGGGGAATAAACAAAGGCACCCGGCCAAGGCCCATGAATGACACTCAGAGCAGCCTGTGCCCTGGCAGGGGCCTTCCTGCCGTTCGCACAGAGCGGGCGCCAAGCCCTCCTCGTGCCCCGTGACGCAGGCCCAGCCTCTTTGTGATTTCATGACCCACCTGCCCGCATGCCACTGGGCAGCGAGCACCTCGGAGGCAGGCAGCGGCCCCGTCACCTCGGTGGCAGGACGCCCAGCACAGACACTGGATTTGTCCGTTCAGAGGGCAGCTCCTGGGACCTTCTCTACTGCCCCTGTGCCGTCCCCAGCCCCGGAGCCCTCAGCCCCAGGCTGTTAAGGACTGAAGATGTGGCTCCTCTGAGCCTGAGAGCCAGCCCCAGCCCCAAAGCGGCACTGGGAGAGGGTGCCCGGCCCCTCCTCCCTCCCAGGCGCCGGGCATGGCCCGCCGTTACCTTCATGTATGCGTTGAGGGCGGGGATCCGCATCTCGGCGATCTCCTGCTTCACGCCCATGTAGACTTTGGCTGAGGAGAGATGCAGAGCTGTCCTGGGGCCCAGCCACTAACCCGGCCTCTGGGCTCCATCCCACCGGCTCCTCCCTCCCCTCATCTTTCCAGGCATTGAAACAGCAACTCTGTGCCACCCCCCCACTGTGCCACCCACCGTCCAACTCCCATCCTCCGAATGGCAGTATCACCCGCTGATGCTTTGCTTGTTAAGCGTTCATATATTACCTGGCTGCCCCCACCACACACACACACACACACACACACACACACACACACACTCACAGCTGTGTCCACATCACCTTTTCAGTGGTCGGCAGACTCATTAGTCCACAGAGACAAATGTCAACAGAACAACGATTGAAATTTCTTTTCAGAGCCAAGTTTTTTAAACTTAAACTTCTTCCAACGTTACTTCTTCAAAATAGACTCGCCCAGGCCGTGGTATTTTGTGGAAGAGCCACATTCAAGGGGCCAAAGAGCCGCATGTGGCTCGCGAGCCACAGTTTGCCAACCACGGCCCTAGGAGAGTGGCTCTCCTCCCTGCTGCACATCCAAGCCACCTGTCAGAAACCGAGCAGTGTCCACGGAGCTGGGAGGGGGCAGGCGGACATGGCTTTGTCCTCGGCCGGGGGCCAGTTGGCCCGCAGCAGGCCTGGGGCCTGGGCCTACCTGGGAGGGAGGGCAGGCTGCAGGTGAGGGGGCTGGTCTTGCTCTCGGGCCCGTAGCGCTCCTCCAGCTTGCTCTGTAAGGCGTGGAACTGGCGGTAGCGGCGGTAGATGAGGTACTTGGATCCCCCCTTCGTTTTCACCTCGATGACGAAGACCTAGGACAGAGGTGAGAGGGTAGGACCTCGGGGGCCAGGGGCAGGGGAGGGGGCGGCTCCGGGCTCCTCAGGAGCACATTTGGGGCAAATGATTCTTGGTCGTGGGCCGTCCTGGGCACGGCCTCCACCCACTGGGCGCTGGTAGCACCCCACCGCATGTGGTAACAACAAAAATACCCGAGGATTCCGACTGCCTCATGCCTCCTGGAGGGCAGACCGCCTGCCCAGGGTCGCGGGGTTGAAGGCAGAGCCAGGAGAGTTGAGGTTCAGAGGTCAGAGGGGGAGGGTCCGGGGGTCTCTCTTACAAAGTAGCTGGTGAAGCCCCGCTTCTCCTCGATGTCGGCGATGTTGGCGGAGACGGCCACGTCGTCAGGGAGCTGCTCGAAGTCGCTGAGGGAGGACAGGGAGCCTGTCAGCGGCCCAGTGTTCAGGGCCTCTGGGCTGAGGCAGCGGCAAAGCGAGCCCGGTGAGTCCGCGCTCCTCGCTCAGCACACGTTCCCGGCCGGGCCACTGTAACATTCCCCATGACACCCCTCCCTGGCCTTACAAAACCCCCTCCTGGGCCCCATGAAACCCTCCTCCCTGGCCAGGCCCCATGACACCCCTTCCCGGGCCACACGATACCCCTCCCGGGTTCCTTGACACCCCCTCCCGGGCCAGGCCCCACGTCACCCTTCCTGGCAGAGCCACCTCGCAGACCAGACCTGCAGATGGGACATGCACCAACAGCAGAGCTAAAATCTAGCGAATCACTTTGCAGCTGCCTGATCCACTCAGGACCAGCCCATCAAGCACCTCCCCGTGTCCAACCCTGTTCCCAGCCCCGGGCTGCAGCGGTGAGTAGAGCAGCACATGCCCCAGAGAGAGAAATGTCACAGGTTGGGGAAATGTCACAGAGGTAGTGACATTTGAGCCAGGTCTAGAAAGACCTGGAATCCACCAGGTAGGACCCGAGGGGCAGACCTTGAAGGCAGAGGGAACAGCATATGCTAAGGTTCTGAGGCCTGAGGATTGGGCCTGGGTCAACTGTGGCTGGAGTCCAATGTCATCGGAGCTGAGCGGGCAGCTGAGGCCAGACGGAGGAGGGTCTCCAGGCCTGAGCTGAGGCGACAGGGAGCCACGCACAGCCTCGGAAGAGAGTGAACACAGTATGGTCTGGCTTTAGGAGGCCAATTCAGGCAGCTGTGTGGAAAGACAGGAGATCAGAGCACCACGGGAGGCTCTGAGGTGCTCTGATTGAGAGGTGACGTGACAGCGGGGATAAGAGGAAAGGACAGAAACAGGAGACACCACTCTTGGCAGATAGACATGGTGTCATTTGTCGTGCCCCTTGTTCCTCACTGCTGACCAGGCTCCAGTTTTGTTCTAGGTGGCAATGCGCACAGCTCCGAGTTGACAGATCATGACTAGGCTGAGCCAAACACATAGATCCCATTCCTGTCTCCCAGACTCTCTTGCAGCTAGGAGCAGCCATGTGACAAGTTTTGGCCAATGAGACCTCAGAGGGAATCTGGAGCAGGAGCCCTTTGGAGAGTGTTTGCTTTCCTGATCCAGAGAGATGGGCAAGGCCAGCATGGTCTCCTCCTTTTCTCCCTTCTGCCTGCGTTGAAGGCAGATGTGACATTTGGACCTTCAGCAGCTGCGAGGCAAAAACATGAGGCATACCAACGGGGTCTCTGAGATGCTGATCCTGGAGTCACTGAGCTGCAGAACCAGCTGTGAACCTCTGGACTTCTTGTTATTAAAAAAGCTAGAGGCCCGGTGCACAAAATGTGTGCACTGGGTGTGAGTGTGGGGTCCCTCAGCCCGGCCTGTACCCTGTAGCAGTCTGGGAGCCCTCAGGGGATGTCTGGCTGATGGCTTAGGCCCACTCTCCCCGACTGGGAGCCATCCAAAGCCATAAGTCAGACATCCTTAGTGTTGCCAAGGAGGCAAGAGAGGCTCGCACTACAGCTACTGCGCTCACCAGCCGTGAGCCCAGCTTCTGGCTGAACAGCACTCCCCCTGTGAGAGGACATTGATCACCAGGGGGCAGCTCTTGCATTGAGCATCAGCCCTCTGATGGCCAGTGCGTGTCATAGTGACCAGTCGTGCTGCTGTTGTGCTCTCCAACCTCCCCCGAGGAGTCCCAGATTGCGAGAGGGCACAGGCCAGGTTGAGAGACCCCACTGGTGCACAATTAGGACCAGGGAGGAATGCGGGAGATTGGCCAGCTGGGGAGGGGCCATGGGAGGGCTGCAGGGTGTGTCCGGCCCATCTCACTCAGTCCTGATTGACCAGACCCCCCAGCAAACTAACCTATTCGTCAGAGTGTCTGCCCTCTGGTGGTCAGTGCATGTCACAGTAAGCAGTTGAGCGGCCCTAGCATGTCATTAGCATATTATGCTTTGATTGGTTGAACGGCTAACTGGATAACCGGACACTTAGCATATTGGGTTTCTATTATATAGGATAAATAAGTACACCCCTGCTTGTTGCAGCTGCTATCAGTCCCTCTGTTCCCTGCAGCCTTATGCATGTCCAAAGGTCATACTACCCATTTGCCTGTCCTGAGTTATGACCAGCTGGGCGTGGGGACTGTTTGGACGTGGAGATGAAAGAAACAGCAGAGTCAACAGTGACACCCACATGTCAGCCATATCTGGCCAGGATGGTAGGAGGGGAGCAGGGTTGACAGACTCCGTTTGGGGCATGCTCATTTGAGAGGCCTCTTGGGCACCCAGGCCAGGGCCCAGCAAGAGCTGGTGTGTGGCTCTGGAGCTGGGTGAGGGGCATCTCGGCTGCAAAGGGAGTGGTAAGGACCTCGGTGACTGTGGTTAAGATGAAGAGCAGTGAGGAGGGAGAGGGGCCGAAAGGAACAGGTGGAGGGAGAGCAGCCAGCCCAGGTGTGGACAGATGAGGAAACCGGAAGCGATTGTGACTCTGCCTTGGTCGCAATGAGGAAACAGGGGAGGAGCTGGGGGCAGGGCTGCACCTGCGAAGCCTGAGAACTGACCAGGACTTCAGGAGAAATGATTCCGGAGTCTGCACACCCAGGCCCAGCCACCGCTGGTTCCCCTGTAATCGGGCTGTTTGGGACCTCAGGCGACCTCAGGATGGGGACGCAGGAGGCTGCCATGGGGTGGAGTGGGGACTCAGGGGGGAAGAAGGGGGGCGGTGCAGAGGAAATCCCCGCCACTTGTGGCCACTGGCAACCTCCCCACTCACTTTCCACACATGCCCTGTGGTGACACCCTTGGGAGAAACTTCCTCCTCCGCACGCTCCCCTGAGGCTGTGAGTCTCATGGCTGTTGCATCTGCAGCAGCGGGGGGCGGGGGCGGGGGGAGTGCAGAAAGGAGCCGGAGGCTGCGGGCAGAGGAGCGGGCAGGTTGGGCAAGAGGAACCATGGCCAACTGTGTCCTGAGCCCCCACCAGGCGCTCCTCTAAGTCAGGGTCCCCTTGGTACAGACAAGGAAACTGAGGCACAGAGAGGCTAACAAAGTTTGCCCAAGAGGCTGGGCTGTCCTTGGCTTGAGGATGAACGCGGATAAATCCCAGCCCTCCCCAGCCTCCGGCTCCCCCTCGGAAGCAGTAGGAGCGCAGCTTGGATGGTTCTGAGCACATGGGGACCGGCCTCTGCCTGCCTGGGCCTCACTGACAAATGGCAGAATCCGATGGCAGAGATGATGCCACAAAGGAAAAGCACGGCGTCTTGAGCTGCAGCGGGAGCCCAGCTGTTACTCTGCCCCTCAGAGAGTCCGTGTGCGGAGGGCCGGAGCGCTTGGCAGCAGAGGCTTCTAGGGGGGACACCCCCATCAGGCGAATAGCAGGGTGCTGTGCAAGGACGAGGGCCCGTGGGCCTGAGGGTGGCTGCTAAGGAGGGAGTCTTCCCGGAAGCCTCCTTGACCCGCAGGAAAAGAAAAGAGAAACTGACCACAGGATGGCGGGCCGGGGAAACCCTGAGTGTCCAAGGCCCCAGAGCCCTGCTAGCGGGCAAGTTCAAGGCTCTGCAGTGGGGGAAGGAGGGTCATCTGAGGGCATCTGAGCACGGAGCTGGCGGGAGAAAGCACTGAGAGAGGAAGCCATGCGGCCGGTGGGGCCCGCTCCCGAAGGGCCCCTGTGTCTTGCCCTGGGTGTGGGGTGAGGGAGACGTCATGATGGGAGGGCATCAGCCCATCTGTGTGTACCCAGGGCAGGAGGGCACAGGTGGAAGAGGGAGGCCTGAACCCCCGGTACCCTAGGACTCTGCTCTGTGCTCTGGCTTCTCCCCCCTCTATAAAACAGGGATCATACGTGTACATACGTCACTGGGGGGTCGGGAGGCCCCCCTGGAGAATCCCCATGAGAGCAGGGGCCTTGCCCACGCTGCATCCCCAGCGCTCAGAGCCACAGTGGGCGCGCAGTAGGTGCTCAGCCAGGGCCGCTGTCTGTGTCTGTGCCTGAGCAAGTCCTCCGGCGGGCGGAGTGGGATGGTCTGGCTGCCTGCTGGGCAGAGCCAGGAAGCTGCCAGGGTCGGGTGGGGGTGCAGCAACGCCAGCTGGACGTCCCCCTAAAATAACCGTTCCCCTGGAGACCTCAGCTGGGACCCCTCAGCGCTGACGTCAAGTCAGAGCCCTCTCGGCCCAGGATGCCCGGGGCTCAGACACACGCGTGCCGAGTCCACCCGGGAGCCTGGACAGGCGAGGCCGAAGGTTGGGAAGACCCGTGGGTGGCAGCTAGTTTAGGTTTTGTGGTTCCTGCGCACAGTAGGTGTTCAGAACGTGTCTATTGGAACTAAACTCTCTGCCCTCGCTTAGCCCTTTCCATCTTCGGACACTGGGGTCTTAGAGAGGCCCGCAGGGGCTCTGTCACCCGCCCATTGGACCCTCTGCCTTGCCCTCAAGCAGAATGCATGTACGTTCAAACAAGGCTCCAGGGCAGAGAAGCCAGTGCCCAGACCTGGCTCCGGGGCCCCTGAGGGCCGGGGAAGCGCCCTCCTCTCTGAGAGCCCCGGGCAGCTGGACAGGCAGGGCGCCAGCTCCCTGGCCCACACACACGCCCTGCAGAACGGGAGGTGCTGCCGCCTTCCACAGCAGCTGCTTCCTGAGGCTGGCGTTCGCGTGTCAGGCCGTCTCCGAGGAGAACTGGTGGGGAAGCGGGGCTGGGTCTGCAGGAATGACCTTCCCCAGCGCCCACCCCAGCTCTGTGGCTCCCCAAGGCCGTGCTTGGGCCCTGCTGCCAACACTGGCATCTCCCGCCCCTCCCTCAGCACACACCCAGACAAGCTTCCTTCCGCCACCCAGACCCGGACACCCCACCCAGGTTCCATTTCCAGCCTGATGCCACCAGGCAGCCTGGATGCCCACGGCAGCCCAAACCACCCTGACGCATCTCCGGCGACCCTCAGAGTCACCACCTCAGAGTTTGCATGCTCTTTTTTTTTTTTTTGAGGTCACCTGCTGTTCTGGTCCCGGAGGGCAAGAGCTAAGCCCAGGGTCCTTAGACCCCTCCCCCGACCACCACCCCTCTACCCCGTTTGGACCACAGGCTGGCAAACGAGGAAACATTCAGAAAATGCTACTGCAGGTGGACCCACGCGTTGGCGAGGCTGTGCCCCAAGCCCAGGCCTTGCCCCTGACCCCCTGTGCCCCAAGCACACCCTCTGTCCTCCCGGAACCTCGGTTTTCTCCTCTGTACAAGGACAGGACTGGGCCAGAGGGACCTGAGAACACTTTCCCACTCAAAGGTCCACGCACTCATTCGTGCGGCACAGTTCGTACCCGTGTTGTTCTGCTTTCTAGGGATACGGCCGTGAGCAAAAGAGACAAATACCGCACCCCCATCCAACTGGCTGCTAACGGGGGAGTGCGTGGTAAAGGAAGCAGATGAGTGAGAATAGCATCGCAGTCACATGAAGACCACACAGAAAAAGAAAGCCGGGCAAGGGGGCCAAAGAACAGTGGTGGGGCAGTCCGGGAAGGCTTCTTGGAGGAGGTGACCCTGGAGCCACGCCCTGGCTCAAGAAGGCCAACAAGCCAGATGCTGTATTCTGTTTGAATAAAGGATGAAAAGCCATCGCTGACCGCAGTGCAGGGCAGCGAGCCCAGCCTGGGAGACAGATCACCTGAGTTCCCATCCGGACTCCGCCACCCACTCCCGTGTGACCCCGGGAAAGTCACTGCCCGTCTCTGAGCCTCCCGTCTCCATCGGCGCTGGAGGGCGGTGAAACCGCAGCCTCATTTCCTTATAGTAGTTCCAGGACTCGACATTTCTGAGTATTTGGGTTCTGACTCAGCTCCGCCTCTCCACTCCTGATATTATTAAGGGGCTGCAGGAGGCTGGCCTCTGTCCCCGGGCCCGGGGGGGACGGCGAGGAGGCCCAGCCTGGGCAGCGCCCTGCACTCACCTCTCCGCCCGCAGCTGCTGGGCCCTGGCCATGGCCGGCAGTGGTCCAGGCGAGTGGAAGACAGAGGGTCTCACCCAGCCAGGCCCAGACGGAGTGGGCCTCTCACTTCCCTCCAGACACCCCGCATCTGGCCTGTGGTCTCAGGAGTCCCTGGGAGCCGCCTGTGGGGAGGCCCCACCCCCGCTTCTCTCGGCTCAGGCTCAGGCCCCTCCTTCGGGCATGGTCTGGCCAGCGGCCCGTGCTTCCTCTTCCCCCGCTCCCAGCTGCGCCAATTTGGGGAAATGCACACACCCCGGATTTAGGGGCCTTTGGGAACTTTCTTGAGGCCAGTTCTTGCTGCCACTTCGCCTCAGGTGGGCATCAGGGAGCCACACTTCACCGGAGACGGGGTCTCCATGCTGGCTTAGCCACCGAGGGCCCTGGTGACCTTGGGGAGTCAGTCACTCCTCCTCCTCGGGCTCCTCAAGCCAAACCCTGCGCCCAAGAGATTCCTGAGGCCTGGAGTGCTGACCGCCACCACGCCCGCCATCCCTCAAGCCCAGCTCAAATGCCACCTCCTTAAGGAAGTCCTCCTGGTTTCCCCCACAGAGTTGGTGCTCACAGGCCTTTGTCATCCTAGGCTGTGGAGGCTGGTTTATGTTTGTCTTCCTCTGCCCCTGGAGCTCTGGGCTGTATTTCCTCACCCCTAGATCCTCAGGTCTACACAAGCCTGGCACAGCCCACCTTCTGCAGGGCTGTCCCCCAGAGCGAGCCCCTGACACACACCCGATCACACCCTCCCCTGCTGAGACCCTTCAGCTGCTCGCCCCGCCCTCGAGGTCCAAACTCCCAGCCCTGCTCCCCGCAGCCCCGAAGGTCCCGCTGGCTTCCCGGCCCCTCTCCCAGGCCATCTCTTCCCACAGGGCCTCCCACTTTCTTTCTAGAGGGCTCCAAGATGTCTGCCCCTCAGGGCCGCCCTGCATGCTGTTCTGCTGCTGGAACACCCTTCCCTGCTCCTTGAAGGCTCGATTAGAAAGTCGCCTCTTTAGCGAGGCCTTCCCTGCCCCTCACCCCGAAGGAAGGCCCTCCCTGTGTGTTCTCTCCCCCGGATCCCGGGCCTTCCGCCTCAGAGCAGCAGGGGCTGCTGTCATTTCACATCTGTCTTCACATTTCTATGTGAAATGACTGCCCACGGCGCCCACATTCTGAAGGCAGCTCGCCGAGAAGCCCAGGGCCACAGGAGCCACCCCAGCCTGTCCCACCGGCTCACACACACCCTGCACGGCAGATGCACAGCGGGACCGCAGAGAGGACGCAGGCGAGTGTGCGGACCTGCCGGGGCGCCCAGGGATCACAGAAGGGGGGCCCTCCTGACTCAGGCTGCCTTTGGACCCCCAGGACTGGGGCGGGGGTGTTTGGGGTCAAAGTCAGCGGGGTGGAGTCTGGAGCCGGGGTCTCCCACTGCAGGCCCTTTCTCATTTCCCAGACGCCACCCTCGGGATCCCGAGGACTGTCTTTCTCTGAGAATGGAGAGCAGCTGGCAGCCTCGAGGCCTTCGTCTGAACCTCATCTCTGCTCCACCCAGGCACCCCAAGGGACCTGCTGCCCCAAATAGTGTCAGGGCATAGCAGAGTGCCCGAGAGGAAGTGTGCTATGGGCCCAGCCCTGCAGCCCGGACCTAAGAGCCATCCCTCTCCTCCCCTAGGCCGGCCAGGGCCCGGGGCTCCGGAACCAGGTCCTTATGGACTCCTTGGGCGGTAAGGGCCGAACTGGGCAGAGACAGAGGAGAGGACCAGAAAGGAGAAGAAGGGGGAGAGATGCTCAACCAACTACAGGCTGAGCAGGGCACTTGGAATACAGAGATAAGTCAAGGCGGCAGGGTAGACACAAGGTGAAATTTCCCATACTCCTCCAGCCACATAAAATACGCTGAATGATGTATCTTTAAGTATTTTAAACATATAGTATCCAACTCAAAAGCCAAAAAAAAAAAAAAATAGTACATATAAAACTCAGGCTCTAAGAGAGGAGGAAACTATACCAGTGAGAGGCCTAGCTCCACACCCCATGGGAAAACCAAGGTTCTTGGGGTGGAGATTTCAGTGCTAATCTGGGGCTGGGTCCCAGTAGGAAGCCGGGAGTCAGAACTGATTAGAGGAACCGAATCTCTCCACCGTCAGCCTGGGTCGCTGCAGGTCTCTCCCGGCCATGGATGGATTGAGCATTAGAGACAGCACGTCAAAGCGTCGATACTGAAACGCACTCGTGTGAGCCCTGGATCGAAGCTCTCCGTTCGGAGTAGAACTCCAAAGCTGAGACATCAACCGAGTCTGGAGTCCACGAGCCTGCACAGGCATGCAACCCCGAGGTGCCCACCACGGGAAGAACACGTGCGCGGGGAGCCCAGCTTGTGGGCTCAATGTGCCAAACAAAGAGTTCACACCTGAGGAGCTAGAAATAATACAGACAGTGACTCCAGCTCAGTCACTGCTGTCTAGGGGGCCGCCAGTGTCGGGGAGGAAGCAACCCAACGCTGAGTGTGGCAGATGCGGCAGGTAAGTCCCAAGAGGTGGCAGCACCACCCCATGGCCAGGCACACGGAGGCGCTGGATGGAAGTTGGTCGAGATGACAGGAAGGGACACCGCATTTTGCAAGAAAGTGAGATCCAGCCTGGCATGTGATTGTGTGCATCATTCTATGTGTACGGTGGTGAACATACATTGTTGTACATAAATGTCGACATAAGAAACATCCAAGCCTGTAGAGAATTTGTATAGTTTATTTGAGCCAACTGCTGACAATTTCTAGGAAGTGAAATCTCAAAAGACTGAGAAACGCTCGTGGCAGTTCTTCAGCTTATTTTATACCTCAGGATAAAAGGGGAAGGCGTAAGGGGGTTACGTGAAATCCATGGGTGGTAGGTTAGGGTGGTGGGAGAAAGCAAAGGGGAAATCGCTGGCATTGGGTAAGAAGTAAAATGGAGAGGCACATATCTCTTTGACAGCAGTGGGTACAAGAAAGCTAATAATATTAACAGCACATAGAGGTGGTATTTGGGGAACAAAATAACCATGAGGGGTTCTGTGGTCTGTGCTCTGAGGGGTGGAAAGGAGAATCCTCTGACATTTCAAAGGTATGTTATCTTGCCCTGGCCGCTCTGGCTCAGTGGATAGAGTGACAGCCTGAGGACTGAAGGGTCCCGGGTTCAAAACCAGTCAAGGGCATGTACATTGGTTGCGGACACATCCCTGGCATGGGGTGTGCAGGAAGCAGCTGGTCGATGTTTCTCTCTCATTGACGTTTCTAGCTCTCTATCCCTCTTCCTTCCTCTCTGTGGAAAATCAATAAAATATATTTAAAAAAATAATAATAATTCTCTCTCATCATGGATGTTTCTATCTCTTTCCCTCTTCCTTCCCCTCTGAAATAAATAAAAATATAGAAAAAACAAAGTGATGTTATCTTAGATGCAAAAAGACAACAGGCAGGCTCACTTAAGGTAAAGATAGATCTTTGTCAGTGAAGTTACTATAGGCCTAGGACAGTGGTAGGCAAGCCGTGGCTCGTGAGCCACATGCGGTTTGTGAGCTGAGGTTTGCCACTCTGTTGACTAATAAGTTTGCCGACCACTGGGGTAGGGGCTTAATCACAAGGAACAATAACAGCCTGTAATTATTGGAATCGAGAGTCTAGGACAGTGGTTGGCAAACTCATTAGTCAACACAGCCGCAGTTTGCCAACCACTGGCCTAGGTGTGACTACTGACCTGGCCCTCCTTTCAGTTAAGAATTGGTTTGTTCAGACCATGCTATATGGTTACTTTCACTCTCTAAGTTTGTAGGGCCCACCCTGTAGGCCTGCCCTGAGCTTGTTGGGTTCAGTATGGGGCCCCCCTTTGTCCACAGTAACATACAAATAAAAACATACAACCGTGTGGGCAAGTGTGAGTGTGTGTACGGTGGTGACTATATGAGAAGACATTTAGATGCTCAAGTCTAAGTGGGTGCACAGTGTACTCATAAACACGAGTACGTTTATGCCACGTGACCTTGTGTAACCAGACAGCCAAGGGGTCCAGGCTGCCTGGCACTACATGAGCCAATTCAGCAAAGACAGGGTTGAATCTTATGAGCATTTGTTCCAATACTGCCAGCAGTATCGGGGAGCACCAGGTCACCCTAAAAAATGTGCTCTGCCTCTCCCCATGAGCCAGCTGCTTATATTGGGGCAGAAGGACAAAGATTACAGGGGGAGGTAGGCAAAAGGGTATGCCAAATGGGCAGTTAACAGCTAACGCAGGCTGAGCTTTGACAGATCCTCCCTTCCCCAACTGATGGACGGAGTATGACGGAACCTATACGTGCAGCACAGACATTCCTGAGCACTTAACCAGGCACCTTATATGGACTGTACATTGAGCCACCAATTAGCACCTGCCAAATACCTTAAGCCCTGATTCCTAAGTCCCTAAGTGCCTAATCATGTGCCTTACATGAAACCACCAATCAGTGTGTGCCGAGTGCCCTAAGCCCCATCCCTTCCCTTACCTCCCCTCAGAAGGCGCCTTCAGCTGAGACTGGTTTGGCTCAGTGGGTAGAGCATCGGCCTGCGGACTGAAAGGCCCCAGGTCCGAGTCCGGTCAAGGGCATGTACCTTGGTTGCGGGCACATCCCCAGTAGGGGGTGTGCAGGAGGCAGCTGATCGATGATTCTCTCTCATCGATGTTTCTAACTCTCTATCCTCTCTCTTCCTCTGTAAAAAAATCAATAAAATACATATATTTTTTAAAATCCTTTGGGAGGCAGCCTGGCAGGGTCTTCTCCTCTAAGAAAGCCTGTGTCCTGGTCTCCGGCCCTCTGTCTCATCTTTCCAGATTTGCAAAGGCCTGTGTGTATGCAAAGGCTGGGGGTTCCCAAAGGGCTGGTGGCTCTGGTGTCTGCAGCAAGGCTGTGAACCTCTCCATGGTAACAGGCAGCTCCCGGATGAGGAGGATGGCCTGCATTTCCAGGTGAGCTCCCAGGTCCCACATGCAACTCCCAGCCAGTTAGAACG